AAAATAAATAAATAAACTTAAAAAAAATAAAATCTTGCCATTTTCAATGACATGGATGGAACTAGAATGTATTATGCTAAGCAATTTTCTTTATCTCACAAATAAATGTCTTTATTTTACCTTTTCAGTGAAACACCTTTTCACTGGGTATTGTATTCTGGGTTCACTTTATTTTTCTTTTATTACTTTAAGATGTCCTTCAGTTCTCTTCTGATTTACATAATTTCATATGAGAAATCTGTTTTAAGTCTTACTGTTATTCCTCTGTACATCATCTGGCTGCATATTAGATTTTATCTTTATTGCCAGTTTTCAGTAATTTCATTATAAGGTGCATTAGTATGTGTATGTGTGTTTTAATGTTTATTCTGCTTTATTTTGGTTGAGTTTCTTGGATCTCTAGGTATATACTTATCATGAAATGTGGAAAAATTTTGATTATTATTTCTTTCAAATATTTTTTTTTTCTGTTCTCCTTCCTTTATCCCCTGGAATCCAATTACATGTATATTAGACCACTTCCTATTGTTCCATATGTCACTGAGGCTGTGTCCATTTGTATTAATTGCTTTTCACTCTGTGCTTCATTTTGGATAATTTGTATTGCTTTGCTTTTAGGTTAAGCAACGTTTTGTTTTTTAGTGTCTAATCTATTTTATTTTTAATTTCAGAATTATATTTTTATTTCTATAATTCTATTTGGGCCTTTCCTATATTGTTGATTTCTCTCCTCATTTTGTTTATGTTATGTTTTGCATCTTTGATGATATAATAGTTGTTTTAAAGGTCCTTGTGTGCTAATAATATCATTTCTGTATTTATTTTTATTGATTTTTTTTAAATGTATGGTTACAGGTCATATTTTTTTTTGCTTCTTTGCATGTATGGTGATTTAGTATTGGATGATGGACATTTGAATTTTATGTTTTTGAGTGATGGATCTTGTATTCCTTTAAAGGGAATTGGGCTGTGTTCTGGAATGCAGTTCACTTTTTTGTGCATCAATTTGATCCTTTTGAAGCTTTCTTTTAAGCATTATTAGGGCAGGTCCTCCCAAAAGACCAGACTAGAGCTCAGTAGTACCTAGAGTAGAGTAGCTTCTAGTAGTAGTCACTTCTAGTAGTGGTAGACTAGTTCCACTACTAAGATATGACCTTACTGAGGATTCTATTGAATGTCATATATTATGAGGTTTCTCCATTCTGGTTGGTGGGAACACAAAGTATTCCCAACTCTGTGTGAGCTCCTAGAGTTGTTAAGCTACTGCCTACCAGTGGTTATGTCTTCCATTTGAAGTGGTTTCCTCTCATTCATGCCTAGTTCAGTACTCAGAAAAAGACTGAGGACATACCCTGTAGATTTCCAAAGCCCTCTCTCTCTTTGTATCTCCATCTTCGTTCCTCTGCCTTAACAAATTCTATCTGCCTTGACCTCCCCAAACTCCAATCTATTCTCCTTACATAAGCAAGACCTAGGCTCTATTTGGGTTTCCTTCCTTGGGATGTGGCCTGGAAACTGCCTCCAGGCAGTAACTTAGGGCCAATTATAATCATTGAAATAATATTTTTTATATTCCGTTTTATATATGTCAGTCAATTGTAGGGTTCACCTCATTTGTTATCCATAGTTCTATGATATCTGCTATCCAGTGTCTAAAAAGAACAGTTTCATATATTTTGTCTAGTTTTAAAATTGTTTACAGTAGGAAGGCAATTCCTGTAGCAGTTAATTCTTCATGAACAGAAGCAGAAGTCCTACCAACTGCAAAACAACTTTTTAAAAGACAGTAGTTGTAGAACTAGTTTTTCAATAGCCAGAAATAATGTGTAGAAGAATAGGAGAGATTTTATGAAAAGATATGGTACCATTCAGTGTAATGAACCTATAAAAGACTTATACTTGGTAACAGTGTAGCTAATGCAATGTCTGTTTTTCTGATCCTAATCATTGGGCAGGACTCTGTAATCTGTCAAATAAACTGTAAGCCCCACCATGCATGGTCTTGGAATTGCTTCTGTCTGTGACCTAGACAATTTACCTGTAAAGACTTTGTGTGGGGGGTGGTGCTCTTGGAGGAGCCTGGCAGATCTTTCTCTTTGTGCCTTAGATCCTGTATCTGTCTTGTCAAATCACTCACCATTACCCTGTTTGACACACTATTCCCCACCCAGTTTCCCACTCAACTGTTTTTGAAATCATTCAACTCTCCTCTCAGTGACTAAGCCATTCACTGTTTCACCAGCTCCTCATGTGTGAATCTCTGAATGTGTGCTAACATTGGAGTTCAATGCTTGCCCCGTGACAGAGCCCAGTATCATGGTATATAAAGTTCTTACACTGGATATCCATGGATTGAATGGGGGCCTAGCATTCAAAGTTCCATGCCAGTGAGTTCAGTCTGTCCAAGGGAACCAAAGGGGAATTTATCCCCTAGGAAATTTATATTTAGATGGACTACCCCGTCATGTTCACAGAATCTCCCAAAGATGATATAAGCTTAACATTGTTAGCACTTCTAGGATCCACAATGTTGACCAGGGTTTCTTAACTTTAGCGTTATTGGCATTTGGAGAAGGATAATTTTTTGTCGTTTGGACTGTATTATGAATTGTGGGATGTGTAGCAGAAACCCTGGCCTCTACCTACTAGATGTCAGTAGTTCCGTCTTCTCAGTTTGGACAACCATAATGTCTCCAGACATTGTCAGATATCCTTTGGAAGTGCAAAATTGCTTCAGTTGAGAACTACTGGCATAGAGACACTATTGTGTGCCATACTCCAGGGAGCTTCTGGAAGTGAAGCTCAGGGAACTAAACATGAAGAAACTCACCAGGCCATTTGGTGTCTTCTTGGGAGAGGCCTGTTTAGAGAGTTTGCCCCATGCAGGGTATACACTAGGTAGACATTGACCTTGGAATGTAAACTCCTGTGTTCAAGTGCTGCCTCTGCAGGTTCTTTACTCTTCAATTTCCTTATTTAAAAATGAGGTATGGTGTGTTTACCTCACATGGCACTGTTGTGGTAAGAACAAATGAGGTTATACACACACACACACACACACACACGCTGATGTGTACTTCTATAGGCGTAGGATACACAAACATAGACTTAATAATGGTTCAAATATAAATGTGTTTATTTGCCAGTATTGTTAAAAGGGCAATATGTGAAAAATAAATCTTTCAGTCCATCAGATATATAGTCCTCCCTCTGACTTACAATATTGCTCTATGCTAGAAGACACAATAGGGTATGTCTAACTTTAAAAAGAGGAAAAGGAAATAAATAGTTTTTTCAGCAATAAAATTTTAACCAAATTATGATGCAAATAGCCATGTTTTTATATTTAGTTCTTAATTTTGCATTCAGTAAACTGACAGTCTGTACAAGAATTTAAATGTCTTGATAGGAGAAGTAGCTTTTAGTTCTCTTGGGATTTCATTGTGATGAACCTGGTAAATAATTCAGGAACATATGAGAGGCCAATGAATGGGCGGCACCTGGTGCTATATTGTTCATGCCTAAGCATGCAGAATCCAAAGATGGCATTCTACACCTGTCACATTGTTCTGGCTTAAATACAAATCCTATACTCAGTGGCTACTGAAATAATAATTGATTTTTTTTCCTGTTCCAATTTTCCTCCACAATAAAAGAAAACTGTACTAAGCTATTTCAGAAACACAAAGCAAAAGTGGCACCCTTTTTTAAATTCCCACTGGTAAAATTTCTAATCTGTTTTCGCTATCAAGGGGTAGATTGCTTTAAAGAATTAGGGACTTGTCTACCTTTTCTTCTGAGGCTAATTTGAGCCTTCCTGCATTTCTGCTTTTGTTCTGTAAATTGAGCTTCTTTTCAGATCACAGTATTCATATTGCGGGCATCTTCTAAGAGAAATAACACCATCCTCTGGCCACTGATTCACTCTGTGGGAATTCCTACAACTCCTCAGTTTCTCTCCCTATTACCTGAATAGACTCTCCCACTTCTAATAGTCTAATAGTTTGAAAACAAACAAACAAAAAAAACTCTTGGCAAAAGGCTTGTGTATTGTTCTGAGACCCCAGCTGCCTGGATATAGAATGTTCCTCCACTCACTAAGTGAACAAGAACTCCAGCGACTGAAAGACATTTCATGCAGACAGCATGGGGCACCTGAGTCCACTGCCACTCAGGATCAGACACAGCTTAAGCCATCAGCTGCGTGGAAAAATCTTGGAAGGGCAGGGGATTTCCTAGTAGGGAAAAAAAGGAAGATGAGCCTCACATGTTTAAATTAAAGTTATTATAGTGCTGAGCCAAATAAAGGATCTGAAAAGAGACTGTAGAATTTTATATCTATAAATTGTTAGATGACCTTTGTCTTTGTTTTTGAAGTGTTTTTATTATAGAAGCTTAAAAATATATTTATTTAAATATATGCTAAACCTTTGTTATACATGATAAAATACCTATATAAAATAAAAATGTAACTATAATTAAAATGTATAAAATAATATTCTTAAACTTCTATAATAAACCATTTATATATTATATACTAACATATAATATATTTATAATTTGTATTATATATTTGTTTTTATATATGTAATACATAAATATTTGTTTGTTAACAGGTTTAATTGGCTTCCTTTCCTTCTGGACCTGTGTGAGAGTACTTGGAGCAGTGACTGCCATCTGGTGGCAAGCCAGAATCATCACTTTGTGTAATCTAACGGTTACCAGGATGCCCACTCTTGCCTCACATGGTATGCACTGGCATCAGGGCACAAAGAGAGCCTGGAAGGTGTCTGATGAACGAGCCTAGTGAAATAGCCTTTTACTTCCACCTGAATGGGTTGTTTTCATCCCGGATTCTGAGCCAAGAGCCAGCTCCAAAATGGTGCCTCTGAAGAAAAGATTTGAATTGTTTTTGTGTTTTAGTCTAAGATCTGCTGGTTACCCACCAGCAGATAACCAAGACTGTGAATAAGCACACACCAAAAGGGGCATGTGATGTCATGGAGCCTGAAATAAACTGCTCCGAATTGTGTGACAGTTTTCCTGGCCAGGAGCTGGATCGGAGTCCTCTTCATAATCTCTGCAGGACAATTGTAAGTGAGCAGCCATGAGGTATCAGGGCTGTTCGATATACATGTTGTTGTTGTTGTTGTTGTTGTTGTTGTTGTTGTTGTTGTTAGTGGTGGTGGTGCAGTGGTAGTGGTGATGAGGAGGAGGAGGAGGAGGAGGGGGAGGAGGAGGGGGAGGTGGAAGAGAAGGAGGAAATGCTTATGCAGGACATGTATTTCCTGGCTTTGGGGATGATGGGACAGTTTGTGTTTGGTCTGTAAAAGAGCCTTCATTCCTAACACCTTGTCTTTATTCTGTTCTCAGACCTCTTCCCATTATAGCAGTAAGACCATTTCCTCATTATCTCCTGTTCTCTTGGGTGTTGTTTGGACCTTTCTCAGCTGTGGACTTCTTTTGATAGTCTTCTTTCTTGGCTTCACAATTCGCTGCAGGAATAACAGGTAAGCAGCCCCATACCTAGTTTCTCATCCCCCATAGCCTGAATCGTGAAACCCAGAGGGTCGGTATCATTTTGGCATTGTGAGCTGCTAGGTGGTATCAGCAAAGTTTACCTCCTACTGTGGCATTAAGCTATCTGAAAAGTTCCCCTGAAATCGTCCTGGCCTTGCAGTATAATTTCCTCTTGAAGAGAAAGATCTAGTCCAGTATTGTGGCAACTATGACAAGGGTATCCAAAGAGGAGAATGAAGAGTCTCTCCTCATAAAGGAAATTATGATCCTTCTGATAAAATTAGTTATTTTGTATATGGCAAACTAAAGTTGAAAACAGCCTAAGTGGGATAAGGTTTCTGAAAAAATAGTGAAGCCCTACTACCTGGCTGTTCTGTTAGATAGTTTCGGCTGGTTAGAAAGTCACTGGCTCATCAGAGTAAGTGTCCCGGACTCCCAAGGCTGGCAAAAGAAAACCAAATGAAGACTGTTTTTGAAGGGACTTGCAAAATTCTGCCTTCACTGCTATTCGATCCTTCCCTCGGGGCCCACTCCATCTCTCCCACATCTTTACTCTTTATTCTCATCCTGCCCCCACTGTCTCAGGCTGCCACCTGAGAAGCCCTTTCCAGCTCTCTCTCCGTGGCCCACAGCTGAATTCTGGATGGAGCCCACATCAGATTTCAACAGCTCTCTCCGAGAGGTCAGACTTGTTTGGCACCACTCCAGTGTGACACTTTGTGGTGATCAAATGCGCTCCATTGCTTGGGTTTGGCTCTCAGCTGAGGGTCAGTCAGTTGGATTTGTCTAGCAGGCATTTTGGGGCACCATTGGCCATTTGAGGCATGGAGGACATGGAATTGTTAAACAACAGTGACTTGACCTGCTGTGTCAACCAGAGTATGGCAGTGACTAGTGGTACTCTGACCTGAGTATGCCCCTAATGCTGCCCTAGACACTTTTCATTCTGTTCCTCAAATACACTAAACTTACTCCCTTCTCAAGGCCTTTCACTTACTGTTTCTTTATATCCCGCTGCCTGACAGTTTTCTCCAGATCTTCCTGTGACTAGTTCCTCATCTTATAGTCCTTGGCTCAAATGACACCTCTCTCTATATTTTTTAGAAAATTTTTAGTGTTTATTCATTTTTGAAAGAGAGAGAGAGTGCAAGCAGGGAAGGGGCAGAGAGAGAGGGAGACTCAAAGACTGAAACAGGCTCCAGTCTGTCAGCACAGAGCCCAATGTGGGGCTCAAACCCATGAACCATGATTTCATGACCCGAGCCAAAGTCAGATGCTTAAACGACTGAGCCACCCAGGCGATCAAATACCACCTCTTCCCTGATCATTCTATTCAAAGTGGTCTGTCTACAGAATGGCCATCCAGCCACAATGTCTCATTCCATATATTATCACCCTGTTTTATTTTCTTCATAGCAAGTATAACTCTCTGATATTACTGTATTTATTGAGTTGCCTGTTTATTGTCTGTATCCCCCACCAGAATATACAATCTATGAATACAGGGACTTTGTCATGCTCACCACTGTGTCCATCATTCAGAGCAGACTCTGAACATTGTAGGTGCTCAGAAAATATATTTTCAGTGATCCTGGGAAGACAGATATTTAAATCCCAATAGTAGCTGCTGCCAGGAGAATGTCTGGGAAAATCATGCATTTCAAAGTTAGAGAATTACAGAGTACAGTCTTTTCAGCTGCAACATATTTCTACAGTGCAAATTAGTAACCAATTGGCAAACTAGAAAATAATATCATTGGTTCACATGTCATTTTCCCCCAACACATTAATGCTTTAAAGCATATAGGGGCAAGCCTTCCTACAATTAAAGAAGGAAGACTTAAGCGAAGAAACTAGTTTAATGGCTTCAAGAACTGGTGTACTTCCTATGTTATGAAGCTATCTGATAAAATTGGAGGAGTAGATGGAGAAGTAGAGAGATATTTCCTATGTGTTTAAAAATAATTGATTGTTAAAGAAAGCAAAGATCCAGAACAGATTTTTAATTTAGATGACAATGTTACCTATTGGAGGTGAATGCCCTCAAGTACCTACATCTTGTAGATTTCAGGTTGCAAAAATCAACTGTGATCCTGGTACAAATGGTAATGGACATTTGCTGAATAACTAGTATTTTAATTGTATAATTATTATTTTTATTAGTATTTTGGTTGCAAAGTTAAATATGTTTCAACTGCTATGACCCCATACAATTTTTCCCATAATCCATTATTTTTATGCACAGTTTTGTAGAATGCAAGGTTTTTGAAGCATTTATATATCCTGTTAAAATAGGAACACCTGTAAACAGTGTTATAGTAGAAACACATATATTTCTTTCATTCCATTAAAGATTTTGCTGCTGTCTTGTTTGCAGTGGGAGCATGACTTGGCATAAAGAATAAAATATTAAGAGGCACTGTGAATAAAAACACATTTTGCAATTAAGTAGCTTACAAGTTCAGACAAGGAAAGATAAAATAACCCAGTTTCAAAGTGCTTTCTTCAATAATAAAATTTGTTCAAAGGTACAGCATCACAGTTAGATGCTTCATTTCATTTCAGTTTTGTGGCCTCTAAATTTGTGATTGTGTATATGTGTGTAGTGCCAGAGGAAGAAAAATATTTTTAAAATATCTTAATAAATATAATGGTAATGGTCAAGTTCAGTTGCAGATATTACATCTTTGGTAAAATTTTAAAATGTAGTCTACAAGAGAAAATCAGTAAAGATATAGAAGACTTGGACAACACTATCAACCAACTTGACCTAATTGACATTTATATAATCCTACATCCAACAGCAGCAGAATACACATTCTTTTCAAGTACGCATGGTACATTTACCAAGATAGATCATATTCTAGGCCATAGAAAAAGTCTTATTAAATTTAAAAGGATTCAGTTCATACAGAGTATGTTCTCTGACTACAATAGAATTGAATTAGAAATCCATAACAGAAAGAACTCTAGAAAATTTTGAAATATTTGGGAACTAAATAGAGCACTTTAAAGTAACTCATGGTCAAAGAAGAAATCAAAAGAGAAACTAGAAAGTATTTTCAACTGAGTGAAAATGTAAATACCAACATATCAACATTTGTTGGATGCCATTAAAGCAGTACTTATGGGAAAATTATAGCACTAAACTCCATATTGGAAAAGAAGAAAGATCTACTTTATGAAACAACAAAAAAGAGAAAATGAAACCTATTATAAGTAGAAGAAAGGAAATAATAAAAATGAAAGTAGAAATTGATGAAATAGAAAACAAAACAAATCAGAAAACAACATGAAACCAAAACTCTTTGTGGAAATCAATAAAATTGACCAAACCGCTAATTCAAATGATCAGAGGGGAAAAAAGAAGATATAATTACCCAAATAAGGAAGGTAGAGGTGACATCACCTAAGATTAGGAAGATAATGTAATGGTGAGAACAACTATTGTAGGGAGTCTCTAACATGTTCTGCAATGATTTCTGCTTCCTGATAGTCACACTCTTATGAAATCCCCTCTCACTGAATATGGGCTGGACTTACTGATGCGCTTATTAATGTGATATCACTTTTAGGATAAGGCTACCAAAAGACTGTGGCTTCCTTCTTGGATCTCTCTCACTCTTTCACTTGCTCACTCTGAGGGAGGCCACCTGCCTTGTGTGAGCTGCCCTATGGAGAGGCCCACATGGCAAGGCACTGATATTTCTAGTCTGAAGCCAGCAATGACTGAGGCTCACTAACAGCCATGTTAATAAACTTGAAAACAAATCTTCTGAGGCCTGCTAATAGCAATAAGCTTGTAAGCTTATTTTACCCAACTTGAACCTTGGAGGACTGCAGCAATGGCTGGCCCAGTGACTGCATCCTTGTGAGAGATCCTGAGCCAGAGGCACCCAACTAATCTGTGCGTGTATTGTTGAAGACATGTTATCAGCTTTACAGAAAATCTTCTGAAATACTGAAAATAATGAACCATTCCCAACTCATTCTATGAGGACAGCATTACCCTGATATCAAAACCTAATAAAGACATTAGAGGAAAAACGCCCTATAAGTTAATACTCCTCATGACCATAGATCCAAAATTCTAAACAAAATTTTGGCAAATTGAGTCCAATAAAATATCAAAAGGATAATACATCATGACAAAGTGAGATTTATCTCAGGAATACAAGGTTGATTTAACATCCAAAGATCAATCAATAAAATTCACCGTATTGACCAACATAAAACAATGATCATCTTTCTAGACAGAGAAAAGGCATTTTGAAAAAGATTTAACATACTTTCCTGATAAAGTCTCAACAAACCAGGAATAAAAGAGAACTTCAACCTAACAAAGTACATCTATGAAAAACCTGTAGCTAACACCATTTTTTAATGGTAAAAGACTGATTGTTTTCCCATTAAGATCAGAAACAAAGTGAGATGTCCACTCTCACAACTTTTGTTCAACAATGGAGATTTTAGCCAGTGCAATTAAGATAAGAAAAATAAATAGAAGTTACCTGGTTGTGTATGTAAAAAATTCAATAGAATCTATTCTTTAAAGAACTACTATAGAACTAATACATGAGTTTAGCAAAATTGCAGTTTACAAGATCAAGGTATAAAAATCAACTGTATTTCTAAATACTAAAAGCAGACAATTGAAAAGTGAAAATAAATGCAATGCTGTTTATAATAGCACCAAAAATAAGAAATATTTAGGGATAAATCTAACAATGTGTAATACCTGTATACTGAAAACTACAAAACATTGCTAACCTAACAAATAATGTGAAATACTTACATGCTGAAAACTATAAAACTGCTGAGAGAAATTAAATCCTAAATAAATGGAGAAATACCATGTTCATGGGTTGAAAGATTCAATATTGTTAATTCTCTCTTAATTGATCTATAGACTAAGCCCAATTACAGTCACAACCCTAGCTGGCATTTTTTTGTATAAATTGACAAGCTAGTTCTAAAATTAATGCAGAAA